TAAGATAGATGGAGATTGTCGGTGCAGTGGCTGGATAACATGCGTGCTAGCTACCGTTTTGCGGCTGTTTTGCGACATGACTTGGTGGATATGGCAAGCCATTTCTTTCAAAAAAAAGTATTGATGTAACTTTGAATAGAAACAATACTTCCATAAATAGAAAACACAAACAAGAATATAAGTAATGTAAGTCTGAATAGAAACAATGCGTTTTGAAATGAAAACAATACTTCCATAAACGGAAAACACAGAGTAAAATGAATAATTCGCTATAGCAAATGCGCAGTATACTTTGAATCAAAACAACGCAACTTGGAACGGAAACAAGATATGTTTTGCAATGAAAGCAATACTTCCATAAACAGGAAACACAAAGAGTAAAATGAAAATTCGCTATAGGAAATTCGCAGTACTTTGAATGAAAGCAACGCAACCTGGAACGAATACAACACGTAACGTACGCACGTACACAGAACGTCCGAATGTCTCGATAGAATACTCGATATAGCACGTGCGCAGTACTGTGAATTGAACGAACGCAACTGTGAATGGAATAAATGAAAAGGCTTCCGGATTTCACCACTTAGTGGCGTGCAAGGTTGCAATACAATCTCCAAGGCACGTACACGTGCATGCGTGTGTACGTACACGTGCGTGCGTGCGTGCGTGTGCACGTACACGTGCGTGCGTGCGTGCGTGCGTGCGTGCGTGCGTGTGTGCGTGCGTGCGTGTGCACGTACACGTGCGTGCATGCGTGCTTGTGTGCACGTACACGTGTGTGCGTGTGTGCGTCTGTGCGTGTTCACGTACACGAGCGTGCGTGCGTGCGTGTGCCTTGGAGATTGTATTGCAGCCTTGCACGCCACCAAGTGGTGAAATACGGAAGCCTTTTCATTTATTCCATTCACAGTTGCATTCGTTCAATTCACAGTACTGCGCACGTGCTATAGCGAGTATTCTGTTAACGGACGTGTTGTATACGTTCCAGGTGGCGTTGCGTATGATTCAAAGTATTGCGCATTTCCTATAGCGAATTTTCCATTTTACTCTTTGTGTTTTCTGTTTATGGAAGTATTGTTTTTATTTTAAAACTCATTGTTTCTATTCAGACTTGCATTACTTATATTCCTGTTTGTGTTTTGTGTTTTCATTGTAATTTTGAAGGGAATGGCTTGCCATAGGTGGACCCAACACTATCTGGATTCTTTTTAGATGCTTAAAAGGGAAGCTATCAGCGGGGGGGGGTTCCAGTTTCACGGGTAAAAATAGGGGCAATGCATTTCCCATTTCACGGCCAATTAAAATCACAATTTCGGCTTTCTTTTCCATCCCGGTTGAATTCTATTCCTGTCTGACGAAAGATTTACTTGGTGTTTCTTGATTCTCAGATAATTATAATGGTCTAATCTTGCATCCCCGAAAATAACCATTCTCTCTCAATTAACGATGCGTTGAGAATGGATGCCAAGTTCGATTTTAGGCTAAGAAATTATTCATGAGAGCCGACTTTGATATATATCACGTCTTTTATAGATTAGTTGGAAACTAGATTATGTTCGGGATAATAATTATTATTGAAGTCATTTGTACTGAATCATTCAATTTCATTTAATGTCTTTGCTACGTGGTAGGTTTTATGTATCTAACATGCGAATTATTCCAGGAACACCGTAAGACATTGTACGATCGGGCTGTAGCTTACATCAATGTTGACATCGCCGTGAAAGGTATGGATGTATAATATGCTAACTCTATTATATATGCAATGTGTAAAGATGGCCAAGTTTTACAACAATTGTGGACTCTGCTTCACTAAGCATACTAATTATCTTTGCAGGTAACTACTCTATAGCTGTCAGTGCATTCCCCTCGGTGAAGCAAATAATGTACGAAGCAAGTAAAAAGGCAAGTTTTGTGTGAAGCTGTGGCAGCAAATATTATAATTAATAAATCAATCCTAGATTTTCACATATGAGTGAAGTGACGTCTAGCAGAACCATAACGTACACTAGATCATTCACCATTGTAATTCAAGCCAGTTGGGGTGCACAGAAAACGAACACGAAAATAAACTAGACCGTGGGTGAGCCATATAACTGGTAATAACCTGATATCCAGATAGGGGGGTTCCACCTGACGTTTATGGTCACTGCTAACCAGTGGCGGCATTAGGGTTGGTGTCACACTGTGCGGTAACTCATGGTGTCACCCCATGGCCCTCCTCCCGTACCAGACCATACAGAATCCTTAGTAATGTTTTTTTGTACTAATATTACTCGTAAATCGCAATTCCCGTATATCACTGAATGTAATGGCAATAGTAGTCACATAAATAACTAGCAAAATTAAAATCACCCCCTTTGATGGTGTCACCCGGTGCGTTCCGCACCCCCGCACCCCCCTTGTGACGCCACTGCTGCTGACACAGGTACCGCAGCCCAGGGAGACTGCCATATGCAAGGAATGCAAGTCAGTCTACGACCAGTGGGTTAGAGCTTCACCGATGGAGGAGAATGTCAATCCTGATCAAACGCAGCCAAAGTTGGTAGCAAATTATATCGAAATAATATAATTAATATTCCGTTTAAGATATGATTACATGCGTAGATGGTTCGATACGTAGATGGATGGATGGGCTTGAATTGCTTGGGTGGGGTTGAGCGGATGGATGGATGAACGAATAGATACGTGGATAGATAAACGCTTTTGACCCTCCTTTCATGGATCCGTATAAAATGTTAAAATTTTGTACTGCACATTATGCGTTTAGGTCTACGAGTTGTTAGCACTTATGACACACTATTCGGCTTATTGCATCTCTTAGAATAGGAGTTCTGGGATCCGGCAGTGATTACGATGCATTTGCGTATCACGTGGGAGTCCCGTCTGTTGATCTAGTCTATTCGTTTAATAAGGTAAGCCATGCCGTACTAATAATCGGCTTGTGTCATACATACATTGCCAAACTGATTTGAAGTTTTGTATTTTGATACTATATTGTGGCCGCGGTTATAGTGTAATGCTTACGAGTAATGTGAGAAGTGAAATACTAAATGATGCCATTTTGTTTGTAGAAAACCAACAACATATCGGGATACCCATTGTACCACTCTGCGTACGAGTCTTTCCATGTCATGAATACGATAATAGATTCAAGCTTTAAGGTGCGTCTATAACACAGTGACCGAAACCCATGCACCGGCGCTCCCGTTTTTTTGTTTTGTTTTTGTTTTAATTTCTGTATTGTAAATTACATGTAAGCTTCATAACAATCACGAAACCATAACTGTTGGTATTATGATGACAATACAATTCATTCTTATCAGCACATTGGATGCGTCATGTTTGTTTTGGAACGTGGGTGACGTCTGGTGTTGACACGTGCAGCTTATGATGTATGTGACACTGGAGATAAACATAGTTAAACCAACGGCTAGACGTACCAGGTGTTCTGTTTGTTTTAGCACCACGAAGCTATATGCCGGCTTGTAGTGGAAGTCCTGCGGAATCTGGCCGAGGCTGTGGTGTTGCCGCTGAGTGTTGTTGATCACGCTAATCACCTACGGGCAGCATTGAAAGACTTCAAGGAGGAAAAAGGACCGAAACTTGCTGAGAATGGCGTTTATCTAGGTGACACACTCAGTGATACTCCCCCCCCCCCAACAACAAAACGCGATCAAAGCTCAGTGATACTTATCATCCAATATCACGCTTGAAAAGTAATGTTGATGTCCAAGTAGGACGTGTCACGATATAATATTTGACTAATACAGTTATTTTTATGGAATATTGCAATTAAAATATATAGAACTAGAAGTAGTATACCCACACCCGCCTATTGATTGAACATGCATTAATTTAAAAAGTGATACATGTTGTCTAAGTAAGTTCGATCCGCTGAAATTAAATAGATTACGGAACGTAATACGCAGTACACAATCTTTTTTCATCAGATAAACTGGAAGCGGCTGTTGAGAATTTTACTCGGTCAGCTAATTCGTTCAAGGACCACGTCAATCACGTTGATAAAAAGGAGTAAGTAACCATCGCGTATAAAAACATTTCACTCACACACATAGTCGGATTATGAGTACTACAACAGTGTGATACATACTTGAATTGCATTTACGAATATTGTAAATGTGAGCAATATATGGAATAACCTATCCATGCTTGTCTCCTGCCGCTGAAGTAAATGGTTCGTGTGCTGGTTTTCTTGCAGTGCTATGATGGTGCGTAGAGTGAACGATCAGCTCATGAAATTCGAGCGAGCTTTCACCGATTCAGCTGGACTTCCTGGCCGAAGTCTAACCAAGTAAGCGAGCTAGTGTTCATATACTAATATGTGAGACATCAGGCACGTCGCCAGGCGGAGACCCGGAAGCTCGGGCTTCAACATCATTTCCGGATTTTTTTTTCAAATTGTGAAATTAAACAGTTGCAATGATGTACTTTTTACCGTGTTTCAATTGTAAAAATTTCATTTTAAATTACGCCAGCGTGCACCATTTTCCATGTAGCATTTCAAAAATGTTCGGGGGATGCACCCCGGACCTTCACACACTCTCCCCTTTATGGCGTTTTGCGCCTTCGTGACTGGGCTTCAATATTAGTCAATCACTGGCGACGGCCCTGTACATATAGCACGACACCTATACTCAGTAACACTACCACTAAGGTAGGTATGTTTATGGAGATCTCACCAAGATCTAACCGAGATTTAATGACTAGCAGATAACGAGAGAAGTAAACATGTATGAATACCCATATGCTACAGGCTGCGTCACGCGTTGTAACCAAACTCTTACTTGCCTATACTCAGTCACGTACACTACTACTGTTGTGGGTACGTTTACATCTAGCTTCGAGTTGCGCTAAAGTTGAATTAATTAAAGTTGCCTATTTGGAAAATCTGTAGCACTTGTTTCACATACAACTACCGTGACGACGAAAGTTGATAGTGCACTGCATTGCACCTGAGCTGCATGCTTTTAAAATGAAACCGTAAACGCGTAGGATCACGTCTCCATTTGCTTGAACAAAATACGACTCAAAAAACGGCCTTTTACCCGCAGTTTTGTGTAAAGCCAGTAAGCAGGTAGACTGGTTCCTGGTCTATTGAGTTCGTTAACAGAACAAAGTGAAGAGCGAACAATCCGTGTAGATAGAGGCAAGCTGTGCCACGCCGCGCGCAGCCTTTAACAAAACCGCATGATAACGAGAGAACATAATGAACCGATGCAAAGTGCTTTTAGTACTGTTTCAATTCATTTCCTCGCAGTGCCGGGAATATATTTACGGGAGTTTATACAATATACATCATATCAGGAGTGAACACAAACACGATCACACACACACACACGCACGCACGCACGCACGCACGCACGGCACACACACACACGCACACACACACGCACGCACGCACGCACGCACGCACGCACGCACACACGCACGCACACACACACACATACATAGTAACACGTGCGCTTCTGTTGCAGACATCTCGTGTTTGCCCCGAGCAAGGAAAATCTCTACAGCGGTGCCAACTTTCCGGGGCTCGTCGATCTCCTCTCTGGCCTAGACGAGCTGGACATTGTTGAGAAGAGAGAACGATTGGAAGCCATACGAAGTCACCTGTCAGTACTGATACACACCGTGCGATCGGCCAGTGCCATCATCCGCGAGCACGGGGACATACTCTAATGTCTTGTCTTTGTGCGCAGCCGTCATGGCCACGCGGGTAGAAGTCCAAAGAATCACTGGAGCCGAAGATCCCGTTATTTTCCAAGTGCTCCCACACCATCAGAGATATATATGCCCAGTGTTGAACAACTAAACATATGTGAAGAAATTTTCAAACGACAAGAGTCTATAAACTAAAAACCGCAGCACTATATAAATAATAAGCGAACTATAATTTTTAGATTGTCTTTTTATTTTCAGAGTGTTCCACGTAATAGGGAACAAATTACCACATTACTTAGCCGTCTATTGTAGCGTTCAGGGGTCTGTTGTCAGAAATATCGTAAAGTTAAGAGTAATGTTAAGACTAATGGTGTTTCTGACAACGGGCCCCAGGTTGGTATATTAACAATGTGAGCTTTTTTAAAAGATATAGATACACTATATACATTTTTAGATTATATACAGACGGCATAATCAAAATACTACTGTGTAATATTTAGTACGTAATATAATACTTAAGGAATAATCATTACTACCGCTGATTATACACAAATTAGAATTGGTATTTTTTATATTGATGTTGACCTATTGTTTTATTAACGCGTGGAGGGACGTTTGATATGTAAATCGCAATCGATGTATTGTGTGTATAATCCACCGTGTAGAATAAAAAATTCTAGCGCAAATATAGCTACTATGTAGAGCAGTAGAACCAAGAATTACGAATGCGATTTGTGTAGCATATTATTGCACCAGAAGAGATTTCCCGGCTCATTTTAGCGATTTTATACGTAATCGTACATGCTGGGCTTCTATTGGTTTTATCTGTTATCACTTTACATTCGGCATATGGCAAATTTAAAAGTATAACCCGAACAATCGATCACTCCTTAAATCTATTAAGGTTGCTTGATAATGTTATAAGTGAATTTGGCTTGTCAGTTGTTTGGAATGCAACGTAGATGTCTGTGACTTCATCGTAGAGCTTCGGTAACCTAATTTCCCGATAGATGGCGCGGTGCAGCCGTTGTCGTTTGCTATACCAGAGCACGTCGACGTGCAAGATATACGTATACGTATAACGGTATACGCATAGATCAGATATACGTGCTCTGGCTATACGTTGTTTGATGCGCACAACGCACTATCCCGTTGGTTATGGTTGTCCATTGTACTCAGAAATAATTATCTTTACCGCGGTAAAATTATACTTATTTATAGCGAATCAGAAGCCTTGTTGCATATAATTTAACCGCGGTTAAATTAGGTTTACCGCGATAAAATCATCACTTTTTACCCAACCATGAGCCGTGTTACATATCATCAAGGGTTAATAATGACAATTTGTCATTGTAATTGTCAAATTGTCATGATGCCAATTTTTGTCATTATTAACCCCTGATATCATGCACCCGTAATAGTGCTCAGTAGAATATTTACCGTGATAAAAAGTAATCCTTCACTTAAAAAACCATACTCAATCATAGGCTTCGTTACATATACATTAACCGCAGATTTAACCTTGGTTAAACTATCACATTTTATCTAATCATAAGACGTGTTACATATCATTTACCCGCAGATTCTAGCACATCTCGATTATTTTCAACTTCTCTGTGATCCCCTGCATATCCTATTTTATGTTAGTAAGTTTTTATCCAATTATATAACACGCTGTATATATAGACCCTATACAGAGCTGTTGATACCATATAGTGATGTAATACGGCCTTTTGTTGGGTAGAAAGTGATAATTTAACCGCTGTATAATTTTATCCGCTGTTAAATTATGTGTAACAAGGCTTCTACTTGGGTATGAAGGGCTATAATTTTACCGCAGTTTAATAATTTCTACCTCGATGAAAAATGATTATTTCTGAGTACGATAGCCAACCATAATAGGTATGTTATCGCTCCGGCCGCCCTCGTTCGTATCGCACATATTATATTTATATGTAGTGCTTGAATTCGAGTGTCATCGACAATTCGTGTCAGATCATGCCTGCTTACAGCATCTGCCGCCGTTCCCACAGAAACACGAGGTATGCGGGCAATATAAGAACCTTAGGGTGGGGTGATGCCGTCAAGGAATGGGCCAGAGTGAAGCATTGCTGCGAGGGGAAATAATCGCAAGGGATCAGCATTAGTATGGAGATAGGGATGCTGCTGATAATGATATCAGGAGAAGGTAAAATGTTTTTTATTCACTCCTAAGAATATGGTTGTTGTTGTTGTTGTTTGTTATGGCGGGGATGATGATAATGATGATGATGATAATGATGATGATGATGATGATGACGACAATAATGATGATGATCACGATGACGGTGTCTATGACTTTGTGTTCATCCTCCACGAGTAGGAATTACTTCAATATGCTGTCACACTATATTATATTGCATTACGCTTCGAGACCGCGTTACAAACCCAGTACATTACACATAACTTTATATCGTTTTCTGTGTACGTTGGTTAGAGGCTTTTCTGTGACTTTCATATGAAAATTTCAATACAAGATAAACGTATTTTATTCGCTGTAGTGGAATCTTTGGCTTCTAGTTTTTACATTATATCTCAAGAGGAAATTCAATTACAGCAAACGAATTCTACTCAATATCATTGTGGAGTCACGTTTGGGGAAAGACTTCGTACACATATTGCTCTTGTATATTGCGCCTAACACTTATAAAACAGTAATTTCTATACAAATAGTTTCGTAAATGAGTATATTGAAAGTTATTACCGCCATCTAGCGATGATAGATTTTACATTTGCTTTTGGGACCGTTCGGCAATGCTATTTTCACATTCTGCCATAATTATCTTGGTTCGAGTTTGTTGTTTTTGTCAATAAATATCAAATTCGTTTAGTTATTGAAGCCGCCTGTCATAACGCTAGTTCGTCAGCGCATATATATATATATATCAAGAGCTAATAATACCTATTATTAGCTCTTGATATATATATATAGTGATAACCTACTGATGAAGTCCTCATGTCGACGTGGGACTGCGATACGTAGTAAACCCGCCTTTGCCTTCGAACCTGCTTTGTATCATCAAAGCTGTCTTACGACGAGAGAATGTTAAAATAAAACATCGGCGTGAATTTACACCGACGTTAACTCTCAACGCGCCACTCGAGCGCTGATACATTTATTTGATATATATCAGAGTGGCCACGCAGGCTACACAAACGATACAGTAGCAAGTGCTTCGCGTCTCTCACTAGGGCAATAGACGGATGGGTGAGCGTGCCTATGATTCTGTAAACGCCGTGCACGCTATAAAATATCCCCTAGGCGTTCTAATCGCGCCGAATCCGCGATATATATAGGCGCTTCGTAGTTCAAAGGGTTGCGAAGCTTCGGGCAGTTGGAATGGCGATAATGCCAATTTGCTCTCATGCTTTGCACCTGTCAATCCTATTATAGTGTAATCCGCCCAAAAACAATTTAGTTCATGCTCGCTGGGCGTGTGTGTGTGTGCGTGTACGTGTGTGCGGGTGCGCGCGTGCACGCGTGCGTGTGTAAGGGAAAGTGATGGCCTTTGTGAAGAACACGTCCGCGTCGAGATTATTTGATTGATGTATCTAATTAAGCTCCATCTATAAGCGACAGCGTGCACGCACCGTATGTAGAGTACACGTACACGCCCCCGCGTAGCTCGGAGAATTATACGCTTCGCATTCTATTAATCATTCCAGTGCGTAACTGCTCGTTTCGATTTGCAAGCATTGACTGATTCGTTCCTCCATCTAGCCTCCTGCTGTTCCCAACGGGTGCGTCGACGCTCGCAGTATAGGGGCCTACTACTACGCCTTTGCAGGACAGACGGACGAATCGTGGCAGGATTACGCATAAAGCACATATATGTTGTGTTGATACACAGGGGTCAAGAGGAGTTATTTGGCTCCACGCAGTGACGATCTGTTTGCTGAAATCGATTACTGAGTAAATCGAGTGTATTAGCATGCGACTATATAGCCAGTAGCGGCGGTCAACGGTATATGCACATGATGTGTGTGTGTGTCCGTGCGTGCGTGCGTGCGTGTGCGCGTGCGCGTGTATGTGCGTGAGCGTTGTGTGGTGTGTGTGAGAGAAATAAATGGGAAACGGACAAGCGAGCAAGATATATATATATATACAGGAGTCTATCAATATTGATAGACTCCTGATATATATATATATATATCAAGAGTGCATAATAGAGTCTCTATACGTCTCGTCTCTATTATGCACTCTTGATATATATAGAGAGAGAGAGCGAGAGAGAGGCAGACAGACAGACAGATAGACAGATAAAACCGACACACACCCGCGCCCGATCGCATGGACGCACGCAGGCGCACCCTCTCCCATCACATATATTTACAGACAAACACATGCACGCACGCACGCACGCACGCACGCACGCACGCAAATGCATGCACGAACTCAACGCAGGCACGAGCGTGCGTACGCACGCACGTAAACCCGAACGCAAAAACCCACGCACACACATGCACACACGTGCGCACGCACACATACGCACGCACGCACGCACACACTCGCGCGCAGTTCTGGTCGAATAATGTGCAGCACGACTTTGCATTCATCATTTAATCCATTCACATCTGCGTCAGAATTCTTCATGCGCAGCTAGGCAAACTCGTGTTATAGCAATACATTTGAATATTTGGGTCAGAACCAGCCCATTGGAATCGTTTAGTTTGATAGGTTTATGGAAAATGTCGACACGGTTGCTGATGTTGATGCTGTTACAATGCGGCTGCTAGCTCACTCGATGCGTGAAACGACGTGCAAATTACACACGTATTTTTTATGAAGCCCATGTTTCACCTAAACCAGAAGTGTTACTCCTGGTTTGGGGTTGAATCGATGATAGAATTTAATCAGAGCGTTTTAGTTGTTGCCATAGAATTTCTACACTCGTTTTGATTTCAAATATGCATTTCGTGTTATAGTAGATTTTATAAATGGCGATAGAGGTAGATTATGCTAAAAACACAAATCTACATAACCCAGTCACTTACGCATAGTTTCGTGTAAAAATAGAACTCGAGTATTCTCTACTAAAAAATTACAAGCTGTCCGGCCTTTTTCGATGTAAAGACTGTTTTTTATGCGCCGTGCATGTACGGTAAAAGCAAAATTTGACATGATCGAATTCAATTTATACATTTCTAAATTACATAGTAGGAGCTTATAAAAGGACTTAATTTGCCCTAAAATATCAATGAGTTGCTTCCTTGTCTCGCCTGGTGTACAACAACATTTCATGTGTGCTTGTTATAGGGCGAGTATTTATAGATGCTATTATAGATTCTAGCGGCATCAACGTCCCCTTCTATAAAGTGTTTACTGCCAACGTGTTACTAATTGTTTTCGTTCGTCGCTGCGAGAGAAAGAGATTCAAGTCATCTGTTGATGGCAGTTATATAGTACTCGCCCGTCGCGGCAAGCTTTACAGAGTAGCTGCGTATAGTGTAGTTCGATTCACTCCACTTTATGTTCCCAGACCATATTAATCTGAAAGTAATATATAGCTGGATGGACTGAAAGTACAGTGTAGTTTGAAAGGATTTGCCCTGCCAGCTCTGTGTAGTGTATGTGAGCGGGCGCCCATGCACTCATCGATTCATACATACTTCAGACGATGCGTGGTAATTGATAGGGATTCATAGTGTAAGGATTAGGATTAGTTCTATCAAAAGGTTATACGAGTAGTCTTCGTATTAATGCTGTTTGTAGTGCGATTGGAAGTAATCGCTTACCATTTATCATTGGCTTCCTCTTGACATCGTCCGTAGCATGTCACTGCATACATGTCCCCGCGCTCAGGCTAGGAGTATCGTATTGACAAGCGGTTGGTCTTGTTTTAGAGAGCAAAGAATTCTGCTTAATGCAATACCATAAAGTTATTCTAGACTCGCAGGCAAAGTAGAATAATGTTGTCGTGAAATAGCACTATTTTTCCGTTTTTCCGTTGTACACTCTAGGTATAATTGATGGTACTTAATTATAATTATAATTAATGACAGAACATTTTAATTACGTGGTGTGCGGGTGGGATCCGCTCACAGTTTTTGTGTCCGCGAGCAACTTTATCCTCGTCAAGTCTTACCAAGTCACCCCTGTTACTCATGCGTCCCCGGGCAAGACAACTTACTCTCGTGTTACTACGAGAATGATCTTCAGCGCATTGATTTCCATTCGTATCGTGCTTTTAAAGTACTGAGCGCTCAAGACCATTAACGATAGATTTTGTCTCGCCTGAGGAAATCGGGGGAAATCATGCGTAACCACGTCACCCGTGTCCTTATTGTACATTGATTGAGCCTCGTTTCAATTGCAACTCTATAAAATTTAAACATTTTCACGTGCTTTTAAAGAACATGCCAGCCAGTAGCCGCGTGCTTCTGATGTGCGGTCGTCGTAACTCTTTATTTCATATACACCTATCCCGTTATATGGCGCGCTGCGAAACACATGGTCTTTGTTTATTATGCGGACACCATTGTAACACAAGTGCCGCGGAGCGACAGCGCTCATCTAACGTCTACTGCGGTGACTCTGTGGTGGAGTGGTGGGATTCTAGTAAACCCTGTTAGTCTCAAATGTGTTCACATACACGCCGAAACAGTGGAATGCACAGGGATGGTATCAGGAACCTTCTCAAAGGAATGTTCGTTGGGATCGTTATGAAAGTTGCCACGAGATGGCGCGTACGTTTAAGTGTCTTCAGATTAAAGATGGAAGCTCCCATCGTACGTAGTAGCAACAACTATTTGCAAGACAGAATAGGTAAGCACTCATCCATTTACCTACGCAAGCCTACAGGTTGCAATAGAGAGCTGCCACCTGTAACCAATTAACGCAGGCAAAAACTACACAGTACCACCAACACATGCACTGGCAGTAGCCACTGGCAGTGGCATACGGTACATGTAACATACTGACAGTACAGAATGCCATAGAAATTATACGATTTAAGCAGCATAAACCTTCTTTAACCAAATTTAGCTTTTGAAATTTCACTGTGACATTGTAGCCTCATACATCCAGTCATGTATAGATTCTACTAGCAAACCCGGCAGTCAAATTCTTTCTAACAGACAGTCAACAAATCCATGTTTAACCCTCCTCTTGAGGGTCAAAAGGTTATCTGACACTTACTCTTCGCATGTCAGCAGAAAGTAGATTTCATGGTCCTTTCAATAATGCCATAAAAATGCTAGGTCACCGCTGAAACAAAAAAGTTTTTCAATCGCTTCGTCAGACCATGTCCTCAGAAAATGTCTAAAATCTGCCCTGTGCCCATTGACCTTTGACCTGTGACCTCCAATTTCGGCACAGTGATGGCTTTTCCTACCGTGATGCTATACACCGACTATCACAAGCCTAGGTCGAGCCGTTTAGATTTGTGCCGCAATTCTGCATTTCCTCCCTATACCTTAAGTTAAGGGAGGAATGTTCCCCCTTCTTTTACACCTCTTGACCTTTGACCTTTGACCCCCAGCTTCGACATCCCAACTCGTTTTCGGATTACCCCACCATGTCCCGAATATCGTGACCGTACGTCGAGCCGTTTAGATTTGTGCCCAACTGTTGACGGACGGACGGAGGGACGGACGGACGGATGTCAGATGAGCTAAAAACCTAGCGTGTTGTGCGTGCTTTATAGCCGTTGTCCTACTGCATGTAATCGCGTAGACTATGGTATTGTGTATCTGTGCGTGCGCGCGTGCGTAATTGCACACGCCTTTGTGCGCATATGTATGTGCGCGTGCATGGGTGCGCGTGCGTGTGTGTTTACTGTCCGTACGCAGATGTGCGCTCTCTGCTTCGGAATAATAAATGCGTAGCGAAAATTACGTTTATATCGGCATCATTATAGCGGTCGATAACTGTACGACATGCGACATTGCTGCCGGCTATACTTGTCGCAAGATACAATGTCAGATTGCTGCCAAATTTATCGTGCGTTTTGTTTTAAATGCACCCTCGTGTGTATTTTTATTCGGTGAATATCTGAATATTTGAATATCTGAATATCTAAATGTCGCGTTCGCGTACAAGTGTATCGATAGTTTGAGTTAATGCTATAGATGGCGCTGCGTATGTACCAGCGCTAAGCACATTCCATTCGCGCAAAGCTTTCTACGTAGAAATATAGGCAACGATTACAGGAAACCATTAGTATTTGCGGTTTTATTATCTCACAATGGAATGTATCGGAAATTCGTTTAACGACGTCTGAACTGACGTGTAACATGCTCATTATTTCCACTCGAATTACGAGGGAATGCGCTTACACATAGCGTACCTACTCTAATAAATCTTATATGCGAGTAAGATTCGGATCGTTATAATGCACACGGCTACATATCGAGCCAGAATTATCGCCTTCCTGCCCTTGGGATATGTCGATACGTCATGGGGACGGTTAGTCAGAAACATGTATTGCGGCACACGTACCGTAGGCACAATTAAATTAGCGCCGGTGACATGCACGCAGAAAAACACGTGGCTGGAAACACGGTTGTACAATTGTCGGAATTACATCGCATAACCATCGTGCAGACCGATTCGGTAATCAGCCATCACGTTTCGACGCATTTAGAATCGTAGTAGAAAGTCTTTATTCAGTATACGTTCTTCGGCTATGGAGCGTGGCAATATAAGGTTATTGTCCGTGGTTTGGGGAGGGAAGACGTATACGGTTGTATTCGGAATGCGGTCCGCAATACGATGACGCATAAAAATAAATGGCTGATGGCGGGAGCGCATAGAAATGCATCGTCGTGACCATTAAATTATTTGCGTCATACAAACGACACAGATGCATCAAAAATATTTTTATATTTTGCCTCATAATATTCTGTCCACACATATTCTGGCCATACACTTGAAACGTCGGGCCATTTCCTACTGGTACACTCTCGTGCGCAACAACCCTATATAATAACTAACGCTAGCGTTATATCAATTTAAGTTTACTTCAATTAACACTAGCCTGAGCATAATACAGTTGAATGAAATGGCTGAACAATATGTCACTAGACAATGAAGATCGTCTTATTGCGTCGCAATGTTCCATAAAGACTAGATGTTACACCTGCGCAATGCCCACAACAACTTCTCACTCAGTTTTTAATCCTCCTATATAGATATAGTCAGGAGTAGATAATAGGGATTCCTAATATTCCTAATTCCCTATTATCTACTCCTGATATAGTACAACTAAGCAAGACGCGTCGACAACATAACGTATTTACAATAAGCTCAAGCTTTACAAATGTTATCAACGTTCTATAAATACATTATACAAAGTAACGATAGCTACCGTACGTGTCACCAGATGAATAGTGCGTGACCTTGTGTGACATAATACAGCGTAGGCGTGACGTAACATATTCGCACACGTGACGTGTGAATGACGTGTGGTGACGTGCGATCAATGACGTGCCACTAAACAGATCATACACATAGTCGCGTAGCATAATATATGTTCGATCATGGTCAACAACATTCCCTATACGCACTGCGTTGGTTCACTCACTCGTATCCATCGCGGCTGCCTCCATCAGACCTTGCTGGCTGTGATTGCGTGCTCCGCGGGAAAGCAATTACACGTGGCATGTAATCTCGGCAGCACGGCGCAATAATCCGACCGCTAATTGTATATACAAGAAAAATCAACATGCGCGCCTAGCCAGTCGTTAGCGCTACCACAGCCAGGAAGCGGAGCGTCCAGCTATTGTGCATATCGGAAGGCAGCAAAATCGTCGCCCACCAGGTGGCGTAGATGCGAGGGAGCTATGCGTCGCAGCTCACAAGGCGGGGTAGATGAAACAGCACAACCAACAGGGTGCACGGTGAGGATGTACGTCACAGCACACCAGGCGCGGTAGATGAAACATCACCACCAACAGGGTAGTGTGCATGTAGACAGCTGCGCCACAGCTCACCAGAAATACAACAGCACCTCAACTAGGTGCTGTGGATGTAGGCAGTGAGCGTACCGACTCGCATAGATGTAACCCCACCGCTCACTAGGTAGTGAGGAAGGAGGCAGATAGCCCCACTATACAATGAAGATGTAGGCAGCCTAATATTCCTACCAGATGGTGTAGATGCAAGATTCGCTGCGCCGTCATAGATGTCAGACACTATGTCACCGCCCACCCTGACGTGTAGAGAACTGCGAGCACTATGGCTGTAATCACTCCTAGAAGAACGCTCAGTATAATCAGCGTCTTTGTCGTGCGTGAGGCTCTACTCGCCTTCACCATGTCTCCTCTCCGCACTCGGTAATCAACCTGTAAAACAACAGTAGCTTTATGCGCACGGCTGTATAGCCATCTGTCTTGCCAGGTTAATCAGGCGACAGTAGCTATTACTACTTGGCGGCCGTTGACACGAATGCTGAATCTCTACTCCGATCGATATTGCACTCGTATACGCGTTACTATGGTTATATTCTAATCTGAATTAGACAGCGAGTCGTCGTTTTTAGCGAAGCAGGGTCATGAACGCCCGTGCGCCTCACACGCGCTTTTACAGACAGGCGCATACGCGCACGTGTACGCGAGCATGCAGGCGCATGTATGTGCACGTAGACGCGCACGAACACTCCGACACACATGACGATATGCATGCATTCACCCGCGCACGCACTCGCGCACTCACGGGCACACGTACGGGCAAACGCACACGCAGACGTCCAGAAAGGGTACGCGCACACGCAATCGCGCACTCACGCACACGCGCACACGCACACGCACACACGCACACGCGCACACGTACACGCGCACACGCACTTATTCAAAAGGGACAGCACGCCCGGATAAACACTCACTAATTGTTCCTAACAGCGTAGCCCTAATTGCGAATTTATTTGCATAACAGCCCAACTTGTTTAATTTCGCCACTCGGTACATTAATAACGCGCCATACGTTTACACGCACGCTTCACAGTTTGAAATTCATAAATGCAATAGCTTATGTAAACGTAAATGTGCGAGAATTTATTCGCGCGTACGTGCAACACACAGCCGTCGTTTCTCAAGTTTCCGCTATATATTTTCGCGATATATTTACTAACTATTTCGCAACTATCTAGCCCCGATGTCTCGCGGTGGAATGGACTTGTGTTGCCGTGGCAGTACCACGCAACACGGTGAGTTCGTGAGCCGACTCCTTCCTTTATCCCCGGTCGGCAGCATTCACCATCCGACAGTCAGAGTCTGTGCTCACGCACAGCCTTCCTCATGAGAGAACTCCCTATATGCATTTCATTACGCGAGCCGAAACGCGTCAAATACTCGAACGAATTCATAAATGCATAGAGGCGTGTGCGCACCTCCCGCGGTGCTTAGCAACATATTAGCCACACGGCGAGAGCAAAACGCTTCGGTTAGAAACCCGGCCGGACGCGAACCAGACATGTACATATAAGGAGCGATCACGTGACACAGTCGGGCGCGCGTATCGCGTGAGAGTAGTGGATCGGGTGGCGTGTAGAATTATTGCATAGATGCGCGATTCTGGAGTTGGAGCAGTAACGGAGATTAATTAGGGCAATTAATAAAAAAATATGAGAGAAGCTGAAATGTATAGAATAATGACGTTACGGTGGGAACTGGACGATGCGGGTAAATGGTGCACTGTATATTATAGCTGTATGTTGCAACACACGCGCGCGCACGCTCACTCACTCACGAATGCACATCCACGCACGGGCGCGCGCACGTACGCCCTCACTCACTCACGCACGCGCGCGCACACACACACGCACGCAAGGAAAGACACACACACACACACACACACACACACACACACACACACACACACTTGTACACACATGCGCACACGCACGCACACCTACACACGCGCACGTACTTGCGTATGCATAATAGAGCGTATAAAGAAGAATTTATACGCTCTCGATATATACATGCCCTCACACATGCCCGTACTCACACATACCCAGACTCACGTCTATATGCATGATTTGGCGGATGTTGTTAAGTGTGCATGCATACCCACGAGATGCCATCGCGCGTTTACAATCATTTTGCTAATTATAATCATGTAATATTGATGATGTAATTAAACAAGATATACTTGGCAATATCGAGCCACGTGAATTAATTTACTGCATCGACAACTCCTTTATTTTTTTACAATCTTATATTCTGAACAACCAGCCTATTGAAAACCACTTACGATAATTTTTTTTTTCATAATGTCTTTTATTTCCAGAAACACGTATGTACATTACATTATATTATACGTTATACAAGAATATTCTACAACACTGTGACGGTAAATGGTTCAGTGATGGTACAAACAGGTAAATGGCATAAACAGTTTTTAAAAGTAGTGCATATAATTTGACGGTACTAATTTACTTCGTTACAAAAGTAATAAATGAAGTAAGCCATAGTAGTAGCTGTAGGGTGAGCATGAAACAGTACAATTTATACTAAACATCATGTAATGTTATATGATAAACATGTATATCCTATATGTATATCTATATATATTTATATATATATATATATATATGTATATGTATACCTTATATATTTACATGCACACACACACGCACACGCACACGCACACGCACACGCACGCGCGCGCACACACACACAAACACACACACACACACACACACACACACACACACACACACACACACACACATGCATCCATCTAATTGTACATGGGTTTTTATATTTGTTGTGCGTCACCTAAGATGTCTTAAAATGTGACTTATATTGTTATAATTTATGTAATAGAGTTGCCCATTTACCATAAAATTGTTCAATCTTGTTGTTTGTCGTAGCAATATATTTTTCAACTTCCAGTACGTATTTCAGGTATGCCTTAACTGCAGCAATGTGTGGGCTCCTACCGCTTGCTTTACATCTATAGATGACATATTTGGTGATTAATGTTATAAAATTAAATGTTATGTCTTCCTCAGGTTTTCCTAGTATAATATCCATGGGTGAAAACCAACTAATATGTACATAGCCGCATAAGCCCAACTACTGCCGCAAGTCCAACCATAACTGTAGTACATATTCAAATTCAACAAACAGGTGGATCATTGATTCTATGTAGGATCCACAGAAGGAGCATTTATCAGAATCCTTGATATTAACAAGGGCAAGATATTTATTTGTTGGGAAGATACGATGGAGTATCTTGTGTTGGAAGTATCTCAAACGTGTGTCAAGTGTAACTAAAAAGAGTAGCTTATATATTCTTTTCTAGTTAATAATATAATCATCTCGCAAAGCAAGATCCCAACTCCATTTATTTTGGGAGAATGGAATGATATCTATTTTACTATGGGAATAAATATTTGTGTAGGCACCACAGCCCTTTTTAACCGCTAGAACAGCCTGCAACTGTGGGAGTATAAACACACAATGTGGAATTTTTTAGGCCATAATTTTATCTAGCCATGTCTTGGGTACTGTCGTTATTAATCTATGATAATCAAGAAAGGTAATAGTTATTTTGAAGTCTGCTCTCAATTCCTGTTGTGTTTTAATGTTACTATTTTCTTTCACAAGATCCCCAAAATGTATAAGATTTTTATTCTGCCATGCCTTGATAAGTTCTAGTTTTACAGAGGAATTTCCCCAAAGTGGTTGGTTCAATATATCCGTGTTCTTCAAAAGATGTGTTAAGAGTAAAATTCACGGGAGCATGGTCCGATTTATACTTTGGGAGAATATACGCGTTTGAAAAAATTAATAATAGATTCTCAGTGGCCAGAAAGAAGTCTACGCCTGCCATTTCAATAGGGTTTGTAATTTTATGTGTAAAATGTTGATAATTTTCATGGATTGCTCTCCATATGTCTACTAGACCCTTCTCTGCCATACCTGACAAAACAAGGTTACGTGCTCTGGGGTTATTAACCGCTTTATAGTTAAAAAGGTCTTTTTCCGAATCTATAACCAAGTTCCAATCTCCGCATAGGATGTAATTTACGTTACCAAAATCTTCAATAATGTTAAATATATTTGTATAAAATTTAGAGTTGTCATCATTTTGTCCATACAGGTTAACCAATGTAAACTGCACTTGGTTTGAGAAGGTAATATCTAAGATAATAAAATTTCCATAAGGGTCCATTTCGCATCTGTGTATTTTGTATTCAGAACCAGTATTAAATAGAACTGCCACGCCTCTCGCGTTTGATGTGAATGGACATATAATTGCGCTTAACCCCCATTCTGCCTTGACCCGATTTACAAATTTTGAGTCAATATGAATATCTTGTAGACAGCATATGTGTACATTTTGTTCCCGAAATCGGTTGAAAATGTCCCTACGTTTAATTGGATTTGTCAGGCCTCTAGTATTTAGAGATTGTATGTTTAACTGAGCCATTTTATTACTGCTCTGTTTATTAAGGTAATCTGTAATAATGCTGTTGAACTAGGGATAGCATTGCTGGGCACTGGGTATAACGTGACGTATAATATTTGTTGTTGTTTAGACAAAAGTACGTTTGTACAGTTCTGGAAATAAAGTTTAGGACATACATACATAAAACCCAAACGGTAGACAGGACGTACAAACACACAGGTATGAGTGCCAACTCATAAATTGTTGGATTCTCGTAGAAGATTACTACTGTATAGAAGCCAGACACACATACCTGACCACATATACACGTAAACACTTCCTGGTGAGAACGCCATATGGGTGAAAATCGAGAATATCACATCGGCTCCCATCAGTATATTAATGGTACGAAATTTGATCTGAAATTATTATCTGTATTAAACTAAATGGTCATAATTGCATTTATCTACGCCCTTACTGTTATCTTCCATACGTTAGCCGTTATCATCTGGCGTCCCCGAAATAAATTTGTGACGGCGGTTCTGATTGGCTGGCGCCGTGTTCGATCGTCGAGCCTCCCTAAAAGCACTCGATATGTTCGTAGTTTTGGGCTAATTAAACCGCTGATTTTAACGATACGGATACATGCCTATTGTATTTGCACATATTCGCCCAAAATTCTTCAGTCTCTCGATAGCTTCTTCCAAGGCTCCGTACTGTTTTTTCTTGTTTCGAGGCAGATATCGATGCCGCGTTCTACGACCCTGGCTTGAATATGTTGTTCACTTCGAAGCTCGAAATCTTTACGCGCCAGCATCCCACGTTTTCGTTTCAACTCGGGCGGCAAATCTGTTCTCATGCTCTTGTCGGTTCCGGCTAGGTTTCTCCACGCGCGTAGAAAGGTTTCGCTTTCGGTCCAGTATCCGAAAACGACGATTATCGGTGTGGGTCCGTTGTCCCGTTTCTTTACGCGATGCGCGTTGCGGATTGATAAATTCATCGCGTATTATTCTTCCAGTTTTAGGTCATCCACTGCAAATTTGTGTATTCTTTCTATAGTGCGTGCTGGTTCATTTTCGTATCCCTCGACTCCATAGATAAGGAGGTTGTACTTTCTGCCGTGGACTTGCGTATGGAGGAACGACTGCTTCAGTGCTTGTGTTAAATTTTGTAGCTGTGCTCGATCTCCGCTCTGGTTTTTTTTAACCGAGTCGACCTCTATCTCTAGGTTTTCCATTTTTTTCGGTTAATGTGGTGATCTTCTCTGTGACGTCGGAAAACACCGCTTCTAATTTGTTATTCAGACTTGCCTTTAGGCCGACGATGAGTTTTCGCAGCTCCGCGTTCGTGACCTCGGCACCGGCTTCATCGTTGTGCGCCATTGCAGTAGCCATGCTAACTGAAGTGCCGGGTTCAGTGTTCATAGAAATATCCACTGTCTCCTTTCGTTCCTTGTTTTGCCTCGTCACGTAATTGTGCTTGAAGTTTTTCGAGACTTTCTGCTTAGCTCCACGCATAATATGTCGATTTTCTGGATACTTTTCCTTTAACTTTCTCAAAATATATGGGAGCCGATGTATAACACTTATGTCTTGTTCACTGGGCGCCATTACCGGATTTCCACTTACGATAAGTTGGTGGCTTAAATACAGCAGTGCCATATGATACCAGCGTTGGAATACCTTGTGTAATTTTGCTTTATTTTATCGGAGTAAGGGACATTATTGCTGGAAAATTGTCCTGTGCTGACGACTGCAGATTTTATGCAGTGGATTATGCGTGCGGTTTAACGCATGTTTCCGTGCAATCCTAGTACAGGCCGGCCGCCGTATGCAAATTGAAAGAAATTTGTCCGATATATGTACCTACCTATTGCTCACTGCTCAGTCCCGCACCCAAGGGGGGGAGTTCTAGGGGTTCCGGAACCCCCAACCATCAAAAAATATATATATGGTAAAGATATTAATGAAAAGAATTTCTTAAATCATTAATGATAGTTGGTCTCGGTATATAAATCATTTTATAGTTGGTCTCGGTATATAAATCATTTTATAGTTGGTCTCGGTATATAAATCATTTTATAGTTGGGCTCGGTATATAAATCATTTTATAGTTGGGCTAGGTAGATTTTATCCAAAAGAAAACTGTTGAAATGCACCAGAATGCACTATTTTAAAGCAAATTTTCAAAAGATTCTCGGGGGGTCATGCCCCCGGACCCTCCTAACATCGCTTCGCGCCTTCGGCGTTCGCAGTCACCCACACACCTCTGATTTGGAACCCCCCTTAGGCCAATCCTGGGTACAGGCCTGCTGCTGACTAGGGTGTTCTTTATTTGTACGATTGCGATATAGTGTAGAAGACAGTGATGGAGGGCAGTATAGATTGCCGGTAGCTAGCGCGCAGTTGTGTATATGTGTGTAGCGAGATTTCGCGTGACGTTGCGCACCGCGAATAGCTCGCAATTCGTAAATGGCATGATGACATTTACATCGACAGGGGCCATAACAGCAGCTGGGCCAAATTTATATCACCGTATTTACCGTGCGACTGTATATTTACCTATGCCTGGCCGGGTTACTACGCGACGAGACTGCGAGCATTTATCCACGCTGCATGATAGCATTAATGCCAATACAGCATGGCGCACGCGAACGTGACAGTGTATAAATAGTAATATCAAGCATAATAATATAGCATTTACTTTACCTCCATGGAGCACCAGATGGCTATCAATCCAGTCGGGCAGAAACAGAAAATGCAACTCAGAACGGATAGAATCTGGTAGTTCGCCGGCTTCTTGGCAGGAGGCGCGTCTGTTGCACCGCCATCTGTTGTTATAACAACCGATTCCTGCGCGGAAAACACGATTTTATTAAAGACAATAATTACATGAATTCTAGCTGTTTATACAGCAAAAATCAGACACGCATCATTGGTTTTTATGCGCGTTGACCCTGCATCATAAACGGGTAGTGATTACGTTATGTGAAAATTAACTAATTAACAAGATTTTCGACGGAACGGATTACTCGCTATTTGCGCTCTCGCTTTGATGCTGTGACAGTGCTTCGCTATAAAAACAATCGTGAAACATGTTCAACTGAATAAATAGCCGCGCGGTGTTTTTCCCCTGCGTGCGAAATGTGCTGATGATAATTGAATTGCTGCATCCTGTCTCGCTTGTTGACATTCTGGCTCGGCGTTACGACCGTCTCGATTAGAAAATCGCCGCATGCAAAGCGTGACGCATGTGATTGCAGACTACAGTCGCATTTCACGGGGTGACACGTACGCTCTGGCTGCCGTCGTGTCGGCGCTGTGTCAGCGAGGGGAGGTGGAAAACGCTTAGCCGCGATGAGGTAATCGCTATATTGATCAACGTGGTGTGTATATGTGTATGAAGCAGGCAGTTGCGATGCGGGTCGCAGGACATGCGGTGAGGACGATGACGATCATGGTAATGATCATAAACGGCCTGACGACGACAATGGTGATGCCGACGACGACGACGACGACGACAATGGTGATAATGATGATGACGACGACAACGACGACGGCGACGACGACGACAATGATGATGATGATGATGCTGATATCGATGATGATGACGATGACGATGACGATGACGATGACGATGTCGATGACGATGACGATGACGATGTCGATGACGATGATAATGACGATGACGATTACAATGATGGTAACGATGACGATGACGATGACGATGATGATAATGATAGTGATGATGATAATGAGGGCGACGGTGATAATGATGATACCTATAGAGAAACAAGCTCACCTGTGCGTCGGCAGCGACTTCCATATCGCTCGCGGGCAGCGCCACGAGGACGTGCTGCGGCGACGCGTTCTGCGCCTGCCGCGTTGTGTCGTCATCGTTATCGTCGCGTAACCGACGGTGGTCGGAGATCGGCCTAGCTGAGCGCTGCCCACCGCCGCTGCTGCTGCTGCCGCTGCCACGAGGTGAGTGATCGCGGGTGCGGTGGTGATGTGAAGAGGACGCCGACTTGCCGGGCCTATGCTGCTGCTGCGTGTTGTTAAGACGAAGGAACAGCATGCTGCAGCGATGCTAGCTCCGCAAAGATGCTGTAGCGATGCTACCTTTACAGGTATGCTACCTGTCGCAGCAGAATAATCACTGCAAAACAGGAATGCCGAGTCTTCAAAGATGCTGCAGGGATGCTGCAACGATGCTATCTTTGCAGGTATACTACCTCGGTAGGAATACTGAGTCAACAAAGCTGCTGCAGTGATGCTACCTCTGCAGGGATGCTGCAGGGATGCGCAAGGCGTTCTCCCGTTGCGGGGATGATGCGGGGATGCTTCCCATGCAGGGCTCCTGCGCTACATGGGTGCCGCTGTCGCTCGGATGATGTCAGCACCGTTACACCATCAATGGCATCGTCGGCGATCCACGTACATTACTCGCTCGCTCTAACGAGGTTCCGATGCAGGTGGGCGTCTGCGGGCGTGCGGGTGGTGGGCTGCGAGACTTCGCACACTGTGGCTTCGCACTCTCGCCTCGAGGCCGTGAGCAGGATTAGCTACGCAGCGTATCGATCCTATAACGCTACCTAACGCAAATGCGAACAGTTCCCGCTCGCGCCACGCTCCCGCTCTGTCTCCATTTAGCGCCGTACTGCGGCCTTTCGTCTGCGTCCAGCGGGAGGACCTTGCATGGGCGTATGTAATTGCTGCTCGGCTGCATATGTATGCGCGCGTTCGCTCGCGCTGTCGTCACCACTGAAATCACGACATCAGGCGGCGGCCACTCTACGTTGTCGATTCATCAAGGCGATACGATGAGCAGGTTAACGACAGCGGTGCGGTGCGGTGAACAGCTAGTGACGCAGCGTAGCCTCTAGTGCATCCCTGTGAACAACTGTGAACAACGCACGAGCGACGGTCAGTGCGCAGTAGCTGCCAGCATGCGTGACGTCATCTCACCGCCTTCTTAGCTTCCTTTCTCTCTCTCTCTCTCTCGCGCGCTCTCTCTCTCTCTCTCTCTCTCTCTCTCTCTCTCTCTCTCTCTTTCTCTACCTCTCACTTCTCCACATGCAAACACGCACAAACATACAAACACACATACACCACACACACACATAAAAAATACGTGTATGTTTGTATGTATATCTTTCTCTCTCCCTCTCTCTCCCTCTTTCTCTGCCCTCTCTCTCTCTCTCTCTCTCTCTCTCTCTACTCTCTTCTCTCTCTCTCTTTTCGCGCTCTTCTCTTTTTCTCTATCTTTCACCCCTCCAGGCGCCAAACATGCACAAACACACAACCACACGCACCACACACGACATAATAAATATAAATAGAAATATAAAAGCCAAATAAAAATAAATAATCTATATTAATATATATAATATATTACACGTGTAAATACGTAGTATGGCTCTTACCCTACAACTGCAACACAGCCTGAGCCGTGTAGATTGACATTGGTTATGTGTTGGCGGCGGTGCCCGCGCTATAACATTAAATATGATATTATATCGATCGAATTCAATATAAACTTACATGTTAAGGCGTTACAGCTTGTGTTTCGGCTCCCTCGCTATCACAGTTTATGCTACACATACATCACAGTTATTGCCATCTTCGCCTTCACATCATCCTGGTGGGAGATCGCCACGCTGCTGCGGGGTGGCGTCGGCGTCTGGTAGTGACGGGAAGCGTGGCTGTTTGCCTGAGCGTAACCGTGTCGATGCTAGCACACGCGAATGAAAACATTGTCATCGCATCTCGACGGCTAACTCACGTCCTACGCTGTGATGTGCGGACGTAGCCCGCGTTGTTGTACCCGCCCCCTCCCCCGGGGAGCCGTCAATACGTCATACTCCTGCAAGCGCTACCGCTAAACTGTCGCGAAGTCGCAGAAATGAAATTCCAGAAAACAGATTAATAGGGTCGGACGGCATTCGACCGACGCCAGACGACGCGTCCGTTGTGTTAAGCATCCTCGAAGGAATCTATCCATCTGCGTGCCGTGCGGCCTTTCCTGCTCAGCGAAAACGGGCTGAGAGCCGGTCAGTTTTGAGACCGCCTAGGCATCCACGCGAAATAGGCCCGTCCGTCAGCGCTAATTGATTTCTTTCGTTGTCCACTATTTCGGATATAGATAGTAAAATGCGATCTCTCTAGTGATAAACACTACAAGAGCGTTAGGGCAGGAGATTTATAACGCTTACAGATATAGGATAGAATTCAGAGACATTATCTAGTTGCCATCGATGCATGGATGGAATGCGGTCGACGTACCAACGACGACCACGACGAGCAACGACCTGACCGACGACACGACCGACCACGACCGGACCAACCGGCCGACGAGCGACCGACGACCGCACGACCGACCGACGCGACGGAACGCCGACCGACCGACGCCGACGCACCGACGACGAACCGCGACGTACACGACCGACGACGACCGACCGACGGCGGCGCGACGACGATCGACCGACGACGCGACCGACGACCGACCGACGACGCGACCCGACCGACGACGACCGACCGACCGACCGACGCGACTCGACGCGCAGACGACGACCGACCGGACGACCGACGATCGACCGACACGACGACCGACCGAGACGCATCCGACCGACCGACCGGACGACGCACGACGCGACGCACGACGACCGCACCGACGACCGACCGACCGAACCGACACGCGACGACGACGACCGACGACCGGATCCCGACGACGACCCGACCGACCGACCGACCGACCGACCGACCGACGACGCGACCGACCGACGACGACGACCGACCGAACCGACCGACCGACCCGACGACCGACCGAACGGACCGACGACCGACCGACCGACCGGACCGACGACCGACCGACGACCGATAGATAGATAGAGATGTGCGTTATGTATTGTGTGTGTGTGTGTGTGTGTGTGTGTGTGTGTGTGGTGTGTGTTTGTGTGTGATGTTTTTTTTGTGTGCTGTCGTGTTGGTGTGTGTGCTTGATGTGTGTGTGCATGTTTTGTGTGTGTGTGTGTGTGTGTGTGTGTGTGTCGTTGGTGTGTGCTGTGTGTGTATATTGCTGTATGTGTGTGTTTATACGCGTTGATAGACGATGACAATGTTTTAGCAGTAAGATATTCGGCATATGATATCGTTTTATCATTCCCTGAAATCCAACGAATAGTGATGATGTTTCTAACGCGATTTAATACCAATTAATATCAAATAATACATCGTATGATTATCAGAAGACATTATCGCGATACGGTTTAACGGTTTCTTGAGGTAACGGGTTGGGAAGCTAGCGTTGACTGATAGATAGAAGATAGAATAAGGATAGATAGGATAGATGATAGAAGATAGATAGATAGAATAGATGGATAGATAGCATCAGATAGAATAGATGGAGAGAGATGGATAGATAATAGATGATAGATAGTAGATAGATAGCATAGATAGATTAGATAGATAGATGTAGATAGATAGAATGGGCATGGATGGATGGATGGACTAGATAAGATAGATTAGATAGTATGGTGGTATGGCGATGATAGCATAGATAGATAGAATGGGAATGGATGGATGGATAGATAGATAGATTAGATAGATGGATGGATGGATAGATAGATAGATAGATAGGATGGATAGATAGATAGATTAGAATACGATAGATGATAGATAGATGATATATAAGATAGATATATGATAAATAGATAGATTAGATAGTGATAGATAGATAGATAGATAGATAGATAGAATAGATGGGAATAGATAGATAGATAGAATTAGATAGATAGATAGCATAGATTAGAGGATGGTATGGATGGATGGATGGATGCATGGATGGATGATGGACTGATGAGATGGCATGGTAGGCATGGATGAGATGGATGGCATGGATGGGATGGATGGATGGTGGATGAATGGATGATGGCATGGATGGATGGATGGTCATGGATGGATGGATGGTATGGATGGTGCATGGATGGGATGGATGAATTGATGTGTATGGATGGATGGATGGATGGATGGATGGATGATGGACTGGATGGACATGGATGGATGGATGGATGGATGGATGGATGGTGGATGGATGGAATGGATGGATGGATGATGGATGGCAGGATGGATGGATGGATGGATGAATGGAGGAATGGATTGGATCGGATGGTGCATAGGATGAGATGGCAGGATGGAATGATATGGATGGATGGATGGATGGATGGATGGATGGTCATGGATGGTGGATGGAATGATGGATGACATTGGATGGAATGGATGGATGGAATGGATGGATGGATGGAATGGATGGATGGATGGATGATGGTATGGATGATGGATGGCTGCTGATGGAATGGATGCGATGGATGGATGGATGGATGGCATGGTATGCATGATGGATGGATGGATGCGCATGGATCGGATGGATGGCATGGATGGATGATGGATGGATGATGGAATGGATGCGATGCGATGCGATGAGATGATGATATGGATGGATGGAGGAATGGATGGCATGATGATGGGATGGATGGATTGGATGGATGGTATGGCAGGATGATGATGGAATGGATGGATGGGGGGTGGATGAGTGGATGGATGGAGGATGCGATGAAGGGATGGTATGAGTGAGGCAGTGGATGCGATAGATAGATAGCATGCATGGATAGATTAGAGAATGGATGAATAATGGCATGGTATGGAATGCGATAGATGGGATAGCATGGATATATATATCTATATTATATTGTATGATTATATATAATGGTTATATTTATATTATATTGTATAATTATATATGATAATTATATATAATACATAATAATATCAAATATAGAAGATTGATAATGTACGTGTACGGTCTACCTCCCAGTTTCGCTCCCTCTCTCTATCTCTCTCTCTCTCTCTCTCTCTCTCTCTCTCTCTCTCTCACACTCTCTCTCTCTCTGTCTACCTCTCTTCTTCTATACATCTATCTCTCTAGTTCTCGTGCTTTCTGTATGCCGCACAGGAAGCAGTGCTGATGTCTTTGAGAACGTAACGGGTTGCAGGTTCCTGGCCTAACGACTTTTCCTGCGC